CTCGGTAATCATGGCGCTTTTGCCCGTGCCTGGTGGACCGCTCACATAAAGGCAACCGTTGGGGGCAGGCGAAGAGCATCGTCCGAGGAATTCCATCAACTGATTTCGTTCTGCATCTCGGCCGATAAGTTGGCCAGGTTCAGCTCCACGGGCAAACAATTGTCGTGCTGAATGGTAAATGGTTTGGATGGTGCTTGGTGAGAGTGGTGTTTGTGGTGTGAGTCGCTTGAAGAGTTTGCCTGCCGACATGACAGCATGCCGAGGCGTCGTAGGAGGCACCGAGAGTGCATCTCGATGTCGGGGCGTCGAGGGTGTAACGGGATTCTGCTTTGTGGATGCTTGTGAGGGAGACTTTCGGTTCCGAGCAGGGAGCTCAGCCAATATGTCGTTTTCTTCATCATCGTCGAAGGGAGAGTATGCAGGATCTTGGTTCTCGTCGTTGTATGAAACATTCCTTGCAAGGCGGCGACTTCGTTTCGTGGGAGTAGCCACCGGGCAGGGCATATCTTGAATTATAATATTAGCAAAGAAAGGCTCTTGTCTCCTTCCGCCGGCGGAGACTCACCAGTTTCATCAATGCCGCGGGCTCTCTTTCCTAGTGTTGCTCGAGCCATGACTAGAATGGTTCCTTCCAACTTGTGTAGATATGCAGAGTTGTAAGCCGAGCACTTTCCAATAATCAGTGGTATAGGGTTGTGAAGGTCTGGAAGTTGCAAGAGGAGTGCTTGCCGAAAGCAGCTGCAGATTGTCCTGCGTCGAATATTAAGAATGGAGCCCCATTTGGGTACTCAGGGCGCTTCGCGCCACGATATGGCATAAGACGTGTTGAAATCGCGTAGAAACGCGACCTGCGGGCCACGATCAATTAAACATGTGGTCAGTGCACTAAGACGCGGTTAAGTCAGCCACAATGCACCATTCTCACGCGTAAATCAAGACCCAGGCCCCTGAGATCTGGGGCTGATCATTGGCCCAGCTACCAGTACTTCGATAATTGGATCCATTGGATAACAATTTGCGGTGGTGAGCGTAGCTACTATTCGTTGCTTAGAGACGAGTTGCAAGAAATTTCCCCTTGTCTCGTTTGAGTAGCCAGTTCGCTACCGAGAAGCATTGACAGTTCTACTCTGCATACTCCATAGATCCGTGGCATTTAATTCGATCGTGATAGAGCCATTATATGTTCTGCATCTGAGTTTTGAATCTGTCAGCCCACTCTACACCTAATTGATGATCTGACAACTCTGGGCCTCGGCATTGGATACTCCCCCCCCAAAAATGGATTACGTCATTGCCCTTCAGTTGTTTGACATTATCATGCAACTGTGATTCTCTAAATTTAATATTTTCTGCTCATCTCTCATCTATTTCCAATCACATCGTCCACAGTAAAGTGCTCATCATGACTACATATATTCCGGTGCTCACACTGCCCGACGCGGTCTTCCTGAAGCCCGCACTATCAGTTTTGCTGCCCATTGGCCTTGGGACAGCCGTTGGCTTCAGTGCCACTCGTGGGTTGACCTTCACATCCATATCAATCGAACACTGTTGACTGATTCATTGTCTGGTTTTAGAGACTCAGAAGACCTATCTTGCTCTCAAGAAACCTTCGGTTCAACCTCCGCCATGGCTGTTTGGCCCTGTCTGGACCGTCCTCTACGGGTGAGGATCGCCAGGCTAAGTGATTGATGCTCATAACTAACGCTTATCAGTCTCATGGGCTATGCCGCCTACCGAGTTGCTGACATTGGTCTTTCTCCCTTCTCAAGCCCTGAGACTATCGTGAACACTCGACGTGCAATGACGCTCTACTCAATTCAACTCGGCCTCAACCTTATTTGGACCCCCCTCTTCTTCGGTTTGTATCGACCAATTGAAGCGTCGGTTGACATTGTGACCCTGCTCGGCGTCAATGGCTACCTCACTTACCTCTACAGTTCCATTGATTCTGTTGCTGCGTGGAGTCAAGTTCCCTACCTCGGCTGGCTCAGCTTTGCGACCTATCTATGCACTACCATCGGTCATTTGAACAACTGGGACTTGAAGACCAAGGAAGCAAAGGACGAGTAAGCACAGCTGATGATGAATGTAGTTATGCATAAGTCATGAGTATTGGTCTATAAATAGGGACTGTTATATGTTGTTGCGTTTGTGTTGTTTCAAGGCCAAACTCGCTCTATCCCCTGAAATCAAAAGCATCGTCCTTGCTATCTTCCTTGCTATCTTCCTTCGACCCAAGATGAACAGATACACACCCTCTATTGATGCTTTAATTCACTCATCGACATGATATCAAACCAAAACTTGAACGCCATAGATGCATTGACCAGTCGCTGCTATGCGTAGATAAAATTTCGTTTCCAAGTAATAATGAAACTCGATGTATGACACACATCATCTCAGCCAGTTTTCTTGTATTATCGTCAAAAAGGAAAGTGTCGCTTCATCCCGTCATAAACCATGAATATAAAGGCAGAGCTTGGTGCAGATCGGAGGCATGTAATACCACAACCACGGTACATGCCCCGTATCCCATGTTGTTTCCAAAGCATCGCTCCTTCTTTCCAGAATGTTCGTCGTTGGCGTAGATCACTGACAGTCGAGGTTTGCATGCGTGATTTGATAGTATCTGCAGGAAAGAAGAGGAAGTTGTATGACACACCGGCCGATGCGCCAGCAATCGCTTGCTGCCAGAACGGCAAGGGTGTATCAAGAATTATCTGCTTTTCTGTTGCTGATTTCGCGGTCTTCGTCTTGAGCTGGTAGAACATGCTTGTAACTGTCTCCTTGGCACCAAACCAGGCAGAACCACCACCAGCCTCTCGAATCAGTGTACCGAGCTGGCCATGCCAAAAGCCCCGAAGGCCTTCATGGCGGAAAACTTGCTTGATGACAGGTATAGGGCGGAGAGGAGGGCCGGCAGATCCATCAGCCGACATGGGAGCTTGAATCCTACACTTGACAAGCTCAATTGGAGTAAGGACAAACGAAGTGAAAGCTCCAGAAAATGCACCTGTAAGCCAGAGATATGGCAGTGAGAGTCCTTGTTCTCGGGAAACCAGGTTGCTCGTGAACAGTAATTCACGACCAAGACTCTCGAATAGAAATAGACTGCTTGTTTCTGCTGCAGCACCCACCAAAGGAGCTGTAATGCCACGATACAGCCCCAAAACCCCATCACTTTTGATAGACTGCCGGAAGCAATCCAATGGACCAGAATATCTCAAGGGAAGATGATCGGGCTGACTTTGTAACCGCACTTTGACCGTATCGAACGGATACTCGATGTATTTACCCACAGCGCCAGCAAACTAATGAAAGTCAGTATTCGAAGAACTGGCTCAAACGAAGCCACATACCGATCCGCACAGCACATCTTCGAATGCCTCCATAAGCGCCGTCTTTTCCTTGAGGGAGATATTGGGCGCATGGCCAGCAACCTCCACAGCTACAGGACTAGGCTCCATCGAAGCGGTGGCGCTAATCAAACGCGGTCTCGACAGAAGAATTTACGGGCGAAGAGGAACGACGTATAGTATTGAGCGTTGAGAGGAAGTGTCGGAAAGCGGTGTCGTGGCTACCTATTGCCAAAAAGCTTTGAAGGAGGGGCACTCCAGTGACAATATACGCGATCGGAGGATGGGTCCAGTAAGGTACCTAGTAGAGGTAGACAAGGTAAATAGAGACTAAGGCTGCAGTTTCGGGGCACTTGGTGCCTTTGAATTCGATGTATCGCCGAGCAGTAGCCACAAGCTACCTAGGTGGTTGACAAGCAGACAAATTTGCGAAGTTTAGGGTGCGGGATGCATCGGATATAGCTGTGCTATACGTCGCTGAAGCGCAGTCACAGTCAGTGGAACAACCGCCGAAAGTCGGTAAACGAGGATTGGAAGAATATGATGTCCTCGCAGCTACAGGGCAAGCCGATCTGTCAATTGCAACGCGACTTTGTGGGCAATGCCTGTGACATATAATCGCTGCCCTGTGCTGCGAATTTGCAAGGTGAACCGTCACGCAGAGATGCTTGCTGTGAGAGTCGTTTTCGGGCATCAGGCCCCAAAGAGAAAATCTTGACATTTCTGCATGTGACATCAGATCGCCCGCTTTTATAAAATTTCAGCCAATCAAGATATCGTTTCCTTTATCAGATCGAACGTGCACACCTTGGACCTGAATGTTTCAAGGGTTCTGTTAAGTTTGTCTCGTATAATTGTGGTTCGGCAGGGGACGAAGGGTACTCCTCAATTCTGTCTGATTAGTTAGTGCTATGGGTTAAACGGATCCATTTGCAAAGTTGATCTCGGTGATCAATTGGAATTACCCTGTAATATGGATGCATGGATTGAACCTTGACCCCCTTGGGAAGTTTCCTGACTAGCGTCCTGCAAGCTGATCACTGATTGATAAGATTACCCACTCCGACACCGGTGCATCAACCGAGGACCAGGAGATATAACCTACCTGGGAAGTAGTCAAGGGTAAAATTCTGCATAGGTGGAAATCTTCCTCAACAAGAATCTTATGGTCTGCCAAACAACCATCTCAGGCACTATTTCCATATCAACCCGCGTCGAAAACAGCACCAAGTCGCTCGGTCAAGAAACGACCAGTATTCTCCAACTTCCCTGCTGCAATTTGGGCCATTCCTTGCTCCCGATCATTGCATTGGAAGTTCAGATCAATCCCAAGCCAATTTGTGTGCTCAGTATATTTTCTAGTATATTGCTTCGCCACGTATGACCCTGTACCTGAGAAAGCACCTCTCATGAGTTGGACAACGCATGTACTCACCTTCACATACTGATACTCGGTTCGGTTTAAATATTCTCCACCAACTCCAGGGAGATGGTGGGGCAGCGGGGAGGTCGCGTTTACGCGACATGACGCGACTGCAAGTTTAATTGATTTCATCTGGTCTCGGGAATCTGATGGCCTAGGGTTTCAATACACCTGGACACAATCATTCCCAAGCAGCAACCACAATACTCACTATCAGTATGACCATGACGCAGAATACCGAGGATTCAAAGCCTCCGAACGGCTCAAAGTCGATCAACCACGAAGAGAATCAATATCTTGATCTTGTCCGAGAAATCCTTGAAAGCGGCGAGCGTCGACCGGACCGGTAAGAGATCGCAACATCTATTGCTAGGCGGCACTCTAACCATCCATATAGCACAGGCACTGGTACATACTCCATCTTCGCTCCTCGGCCCCTAAAATTCTCGCTGAATAAGAACGGAATCCCCATTCTTCCTCTCCTTACTACAAAGCGTGTCTTCACCCGAGCAGTCATTGCCGAGCTTTTGTGGTTCATCGAAGGCAACACTTCTTCTAACAGCCTCAGTGAAGCTGGCATCAAAATATGGGATGGCAATGGATCTCGCGAATTTCTTGACAACCTCGGCCTCAATCATCGTGAGATCGGCGATCTCGGTCCCGTGTATGGCTTCCAATGGCGACACTTTGGTGCCGAGTATATTGATGCAAAGACGGATTACACAGGTCAGGGTGTAGACCAGCTTGCTGAGATCATTCACAAACTACGAACTAATCCTTACGACCGCCGCCTGGTTCTTTCTGCTTGGAACCCTGCCGATATGAAGAAGATGGTTCTCCCACCCTGCCACATGTTCGCGCAGTTCTACGTCTCCTATCCTCGGAGCAAGGGTGACGACTCAGGAACCAAGCCTCAGGGCCATCTTCATTGTCAGCTATATCAAAGGTCTTGCGATATGGGTTTGGGAGTTCCCTTCAACATCGCCAGCTACGCGCTGTTGACCCACATGCTTGCCCATGTTTGTGAGCTAGTTCCTGGAAGTCTTACTCATGTCATGGGTGATGCTCATGTGTACCTCGATCACGTTGATGCCCTCAACACTCAATTAGAGCGTGAGCCACGAAACTTCCCCGAGTTGGAAATTTCTCGAGACAAGGGCGGAAGTATCGACGGATGGAAAGCAGAAGATTTCACCATTAACGGCTACGACCCTCACAAGACGATTGCGATGAAAATGTCTGTATGATTCGTGTAATAATGTGGTGTGCTATAATCCATCGAAGACTCGAAATAGACGGCGTTGTTAGAGTTAGATAATGAGGAGTCGTGTTGGCTCCCGCGTGTGTTTTTATGCTTAATGAGATTGAATATTGCTTGGTACCGAAACCCGACTGCCATCCACACTACTTCCCGGATCTGTATATTTGTGTATGCCTCCTGAAATAATTGGTACTAGAGCCCATGATGATAGAGTTCATCCCTTCGTATCATTCCACAAGATGGTGATGTTGTGTTGGATCGGAATGCAGAACAGAGTGACAACTTGGTAGCACACGGGATGTCGATTAATAATTTACAAGTTACAATGACCAGTCCATTTGTGTGCAATCAACCCACTTATCCAGATAACCACCCGAACCCTGAATTCGTGAACCCTGACATGCGATGCTACACTGAGAAAGCATTTTACTGCTTCTTCTTGGCGGAGGCCTTGCTAGGGGAACCCTCCTTCTTCTCCGAGGCCTCCTTGGCATCGACAGCGGCGGCGTCATCAGCCTCCTTCTTCTCAGCATACCACTCGCCGACTTGCAGAACGAGAATTCCAACAAGAACAAGGGCAAGAATGGTATTGCTGGCCGAAAGAACCTTCAAGCTGTCCTCACGACCAAGAATAAGCTCGCCGCTCTCGCCCTCATGAGTCTTGCCATCGAAGCCGTCGTTGGTCCAGATCTCGGCACTAACACTTCGGAGAGCCTTGACAATGTTGGCGACGTAGACACCGAAGCCAATCAGGTAGAGAATGAGGGACGCGCCGTCAAACAGGAAGTTGGCCTCGCTGGGGCGGAAGAGCTTAATGAAGAAACCGATGAAGCCGATAGAGATGACAATGTGGAGGATACGGCTAATGAGCGCCGGAGACTGGTGTACAAACTTCAAATGTGTTTCGAGGTGATCAAAGAAGTTATCGGGCACAGGAGCCTTGGTCCATAGAAGAGGGAAGTCGTAAGGGAATGAGGCAAAAAGGATGCCCAGGAAGAAGCACACAGCTAGAGATATATGGATCAGCGCGAGTGCGATAAATTGGTCACGTACGGTCAACTTACGAGCGATGATCATAAAGGTGGCAAATGAACCGGATCCATGGTAATTCTTCGACCTGGTGTTCTTTGAATAGTCGATGAAGGAGGTCATGATGAGTGACTTGGAGGGGCTTTGTGGGAGGCGCAAAAGGGTTGTCGCAAAATGCGGAGTCGCGTAGGTATCCCGTGATAGCTGAACAACGGCAATGCGAGAGAATATTGAGCCAGGTAAGCAATACCGTAGCGCGCTCGAGATCAAACTCGGTGATAGTGACGATAGACGTGTCAGATAGGTGTGGAGGAGGAGAAGAGAGAACTGAAGAGGAGAGGTGGTGGGACGAAAGTAAGGGTACCACCACCAAGCTACTAAGGCTAGTAGGCAACCTACCTTCCAAATCGGTGGTAGACTGGAGATTTGCGGAGTAGTGTGCGGAGCCACACCTAATGTTTGATAACAAAATCCGCAAACATCATCCATTTTACATATTGAGGGAACTTTAGTTTGGATAATTGCTCTCATTCTGACTTCCATAACATCAAGGTCCTGACTTGTCTCTTGGCCACTGGACTCTCGGGACCAACGAGCGAGAGTCTTCTTATCAATATGATGCATTCCTCGCCGGCGAATCCCCAGAATAGGTGTTAGAATAGAAGACTTAGGTTCTTTGGAGGCTAATATCCCCATCAACGCCACAATCAAATATCTACAATTGAATAGTGAATCGGTAGCTTGAATCGTTTTCCAGCGTCTTCTTCGTCTTGCCAATCCAGAAAACACCCTTTGTCTCAGGGGGTGCCTTTATCTGAACGGACATTTTCTTTGACTTGATAGACCATTTGACTTCGAGTTCTCCTGATGGATATAGAGGAACCTTTGCTCTCGCATGAGAAAGACCCATGTGAGCTCCAAGCTCTGGGTTCACCACCCAATTCTTGTACCCAAAGCCCTGAACACCATCAGCACTTCGCAACCCAGCGACCCATTCCGTAAGGATGTAGGTTGCGGCGCCTCCCCACGGGTGGCCTAGGCTAGTGAAAGCACCCAAGCCTGGCTGACCGGCAGGTGTGAGATACTCCCAGCTTGCGCCGCTCCTTGTCTCAGGGTCTTTCAACATCGCACCCCAGACGTTGTATATCAGCTTGGCGGCCCTGCCCCAGTCCTCAGCGGCGATAATGGCCTGGAGGAGCAGCCCGTTAGTGTTAGGAGAGATCTTAGTCTCGATATCGTGATCATCGAGAGTCGAACGATCTTTGTAACCCAGACCAAGCTCTAACTCGTCAAGGGCTGCAACAGCAGACACTGCTCGTTCCTTTGACGCCACATGAGATGAGAGGCAGAAAGCAGTACCAGCTACTGAGGAGGTATTTAGGTCTCCCAGGGCATAGCCATAGGTCCCCAGGGATTTGTTCCATAGTTTCTGGTTGATCGATCGTGCCAAGTCGGTCGCCAACTTGCGGTACTCTGAAGACGTTTTCTTGCCAATTGCTTCGGCGATGTCTGCAGCAGCATTGAGGGTCTCGACTGTGGCACAAGAGCCCAAGGACCCTCCCTGGGCAGCACCGAGAAAGGTAAAGCCGAAGTCAGCAAGGCCGCTTGTAGAGTTGATATTGCTGGCGAGCCACGACAGCTGCTTTTCCCATTGGGCCCAAGTCTTCCTCGCGTATTTGATGTCGTTTGTCTGCCGGATGTAGTGGGCGAATGCGAGGAAGCCCAAGAGCTGATAATCGTCCAGACCGTAGACTCTTTCCAACGAAAGAGTTCCAGTTTTGGTAGGGTCATACCCAAGATAGGGGGCTATGGCAATTTGCCCACTGCGGATTTGAGTTTGCAGCAAAAAGTCGAAGGTACCTCTGGTATAATTGAATCCACCCGTACTGGCCCCGATGATGCGAGATGTATGGTAGAAATCGCCCAACCAAACAAGGCGATCTCTTTTGGGGCCATCAAGACAAACAGTACCCAGGCTTTCCTGCGTCCCGTATTCAACTAGCGTTTCTGGGCTGGTCAAAGGGTTCATGTATATCACAGATTTGTTTGTAGTGTCATAGGCAATGGCATTCCTGAAATATGCTGCTTGATCTTGCCAGGCACCAAAACCGAAAGGTCCAGTTGTAGATACAGGTTTTCCTCCAGGGGCGTAATTTGTCAAGTCGACTTTTAAAACTTCTCGTCCATCGACTAAAATCTCTAGCTTTCCTTTTCCGCCAAGCACTGTCTTGATGCGGTGCCAGGTCTTTTCCTTCACTGAGAATGGAATCTTGGTCGAAGCCAAGATATAAGATGGCAAAGTGGTCTGATTGACAAATCCAAATCCACTTGCTAGAAGCAGAGTGTTTGGGGGCGTCACAGTGTTGTTGGTGTTGGCAAAGGACGACCTGGAAGGCATATCTCCAGTTAACTGGATGTGGAGGCCATCTAATGCCAACGGTTGCGCCTGGGGGCTTGTTAGTCAGATATATCGCATTGAGACAAGAGTTGTATGTTATACCACTGCCCACCAGAGTCCTCCTCGGTCGATGAAAGCATCGAACTCCAGCGTATAGTTAGCGAAAGAATGGCCTTCAATGGTCATTGCTGGGCGTTGATTGGCAACATATGCACCGTTGTTGGGATCAATCTGCCATACTGCAGGCTGTGTAGAGTCTCCCAAGCACGAATCAATCGTTGCCCGAGCACCAAGCTTCCAGATGTCGTTCAAAATGTTGTCACTGCAGGAGAAGGCACCGGGAAGGTCTCGAACTTCAACTGTGTTGATGGTCGACTCAAGCCCCACGTTTCTGATCGTCACGACACTGTCGGTCAGAAGCCGAAGGGCTTGCCACCGTTGCCCCCCCTGAACGAATCTTGATTTGTAACAACCTGCTTGTGTGATATTGAATGTTTCGACTCGAAAGCTGTTTGCCTGGCCCGTGTTAAAAAGATAGGGGCCATCTGACCACGGCTCTTTGAGGTAAATGAAAGCCTCACTGAATCTCAGCTCAACTTGGACCGGCTTCTCCAGGTCGAGGACCTCAAAGAAGGGTAACCCAGCACGCTCAGTCCCGTAATCAACTGTAGCAACGCGGGATTTTGAGTTGAGGGTGAAACTGCTGAGCTTGGATGTCTTGGGGTTGTAACTTGTATCTACAGCAATTCCATCTGGCCAGAATGACGGAGCCACGTTTCGACATGGTCTTGACGTCGATCTTGATGCGCTTAACGAGGCAGAAGAAATTTGTAAGAGCGACACAATGATAGCCTTGAAAGAACGCATGACGGTGAAGTACAAGTGGCTGGTTCGTCAGTTCTCTTCCTCCCCAGATGCCCCGGCACCCCGTCTCCTTTTGTAATGCATGGGAAGCAATGGTCATTCCATATCGAACTAGCTGTCGGCAGAAGATGCACCGAGATGATCTCCAGAATCTTGAATGAGGTCCAGGCTTCGGTTCGGTAATTCCTCCACATACCGATTCCGATGAACGAAAATTACCCCGGATTTAATGTTGTTTTCCCCGCATTCTGATGAAACCTCCGATAGAGTATAGAGGTCTTTTGTGCATTTGTTAATAGTTCTGGAGAGGCTCTCTATGTAGACCAAGCAGTTGAAGATTAACAAGCTAAAGAAACTGGAGGCTGCCTAAAGACACCTTCATAAAGCCTGATATATCGATGCTGCTAACAAGTAGGTACGACGAAGCCTACCAATTGTTTGATCCTGTCCGACATACAGACTTCCTGTTAAGTTGAATAGCTGTATAATCAGACTGTTTCTTAAAATTCGCATACCTTATCCATGGAAATACAATGCTCGAAGCTCATCTCTTATTATACATGAAGAGGGTGCCGCGACAACAAAGAGATATCAGTATCAGTTAGGTAGCATTTATGCTGGATCAGTTAACTGGAAGCTCGAAGATGGCACAGTCAACATTTATTTTTGAAGTCCCGTACTTTCACTCTCATGGT